CCGTAACTCCTGAGTTCATATCTTAAAATTGATTTGTTGTTGCTTATATATGATGGAGAAGTAGTTGGAGATGGTGGAACAATAGGCTGGAAATAGATCATGAAGAGTACTATAAGTCATGAGGATTCCTTGATTCTTTTTTTAAGGTGATAGTGTTACAAGCTGATTTACATAGTATAAGATTTATTCTAATGGTCATGTAGAGGTTATATTTTTTTATTGTAATAATCTGGTAATAAGATGTTGAGAACCTGAACTGGAGCAGCAATAGTGGGGAGTGAGAGGAAGGAACAAATATAAGACATATTTAGGAGGTAAAATTGTGTGACTGATTGAGAGTGAGGTAGCAATAAAATCTAGGGTGATTTCAAAGGCTTCTAAGCAGATAGTGCACTGATATTTGGAGATTATAGGAGGAGGAAAAGTGGTGACGGCAAATTGTTTTGAATTTTCCCCAACAAAATATATATAGACTTATTAGATGATGGGTCACAACTTGGAAATCTTAACTTACCTCTTCATTTTTGTGTAGAAGTTAATAAGAATTGCAGTTGCTTAAGCTCTGTGTTTTCTGTACTGACTACTGTATAGTAAATCATGGAGGGGAACTGAGTATTGAACATCTTCTGTTTAGATGATTGCTTATAATAATTCATGGTCTTTTTTAGATTGTAGTATTTTGTGAAAGTGCTTAATACACAGAACTATTTAAGAAAAAATAAGAAATTAATAGATAACTTATTACTAAAGATATTTAGGAGGTATTGTTTGGTTTGGTTTGTTTAACGTAGTAAACCAACTACCAGTTGCTGTTTAGTTGACTCTGACTCATGACGACACCAAGTTGTGTCACAGTAGACAGTAGACTGTGCTCCAAAGGGCTTCCAGTGGCTGGTATTGTGAAGGCCTATGTAAAGCATTTGAATAGCCTGGCAGGACAGGTTAAGAAAACGTCCATCTCAACAATTCCTTACTAGGCCAAAATATATTATTATGTTACTGATAATATGAAGATGTTCACATCAATATATGGAGCAGTGTTAATGTGGAAGGTTGTTTTAAAGCTCATATAACATAAAAGATTCATAATAAAAAGGAAAATACTTGTATTAAATAGCAAATATAATTTGTTAATTTCCCTGTTACATAAAGATCATGCTAATTTGATAAGAAAAACATTTCTGGTAGATAAATGGACAAGGACTGTTCTCAACAAGAAGAAAATACAGTGTTAAAACTTGCTGATAATCTAGGAAATCAGATTAAAGCAGTCATGAAATACCATTTGTCCATTAGCAAAATTTTTAAAAATTATGACACCTGGTGCTGATAAATTCTATATGTAGGGATTGCTATTGGCAGTGGAAAGTAATGCAAACCTTTGAAAATCATGTGGACAAATATAAGTATCAAGAGCCAAAAAGTGTTCCTTTTTCATTTTGACTGCAATTCAAAAGAGAAAAAGGAACATGAATGTATTTATTGCACTGTTACTTATAATGATGAAAAATTGGAAGCAGTGTAAATACCCTTGGTTATGGCAATGGCTTGACAAATTAGGAGTCATTATCTTCACAAAGTAATAATTTTATATGACAATTATGAAGACTAGCAACAAAATATTTGGTGATAAATATATATATTCAGGCAAACTATAAAAACAAGTAGAATGAAAATAATTGGTAGTAGGGTAGTACCTTTGTAGATGACTTTAATTTCTTTAACTATTTTCTTTATTGTTATGATGTTGATTTGCAAAAAATAAAACCAGAGAAAACATTTCCTAACCACACCTCTTACTTGTTTATGTTCACCTCCTTGTTTAGATTGTGGGCTAGTGCTGTTTTGTACTGCTGAATAGAAGTGGTGTGTAGGAATTTTATTTTAAACAAGAAAAATTAGTGACTTTCATGTCTGCATTCTTATTATGAAAACTAAGTAGGAACACATTTCTCTAAATGTATATGTCATAGGAATACATTTAATGTAAATCCAGGTGCCTATTAGATTTGGGTAGGTATTAAAATAATCATAAATAAGTCTTAATGCTCACCTAAATTGGGAATATCTGAAAGCACTTCTTTAACATAATGCCTAAGTTAAATGAAATCTTTTTGTTTAGATATGCAAAAAATAATGTGCCCTTCTTTCTTTAAAACTTTAATTTTGGGAAAAATCAAATATTTCCATAGAGACTAATATTTGACTTTTTTGATTAAAGATATTTTAGCAACCATCTTTAATCAATTCATTTTAGTTTTCCTGTTTTAAATAGAATTCTTGAATTTTTTTTACATTTGCTGCAGTTTCTACCAATTTTTACATTTATTTACTGGAATTAGAAATTCTACAAGTTCCTTGGAGGAGAAGGAGTTCTGGTGGTGTAGTGGTTAAGGCATTTGGCTGCTAGCCAGAAAATTAGTGGTTCAAACCCACCAGCTGCTCCGTGGACGAAAAATGGGGCAGTGTGCTTCTGTAAGATTTATAGCCTTGGAAACCCAATGGGGGTGGCTATGAACTGGAATCGACTTGATGGCCGTGAGTTATGAGCACATTCTTTTTATTTTTTAAATTTTTCTTGTGATTTGGGTAAAAGTTTACAGAGCAAATTCACTTTCCATGCAGCAGTTCACATATACTTTGTCTCATGACATTGACTGCAATCTCCCACAATGCAGCAGGTCCCCTCCCACTCTTCCCCTATAGTTACCTCTTCCCTGTACCCTTCCTTCGCATGCACTCCTGCCCCTGAGCTGTCTCCCTGTGCATACACAGCCTTTCTATTCTCCCATGATTGATCTCTCCAAGAAGTGTATCTACCTAATGTAAATCTTCAGCTCATATGCCTGTCTTTTGTTTGGCTGGAAGCCACAGGAATGGGTTATAGTCCAGACCTGAAGGGCAGCTAGGGGCCATAGTCTCAGGGGTTCTACCAGCTTCTATCAGACCAGCAAACCTGCCCCCCCCCCTTTTTTTTTCATGATTTTGAGTTTTCTTCCACATTGTTCTCCCACTCTATCCAGGATCTACTACATAGATCCCCCTCTGAGTAGTTGAGAGTGATAGCTGGGCACCATTTAGTTCTTCTGATCTCATAGTCATATAGGCTGAGGATCACATGATGTACCAGTCCCTTAGACAAATTGTTTCCATGCATCTTTGGTTGTCTTCGTTCTTCTTTGCTCTGGACGAGGAAAGACCCATGTTTGCATCTAGATAGTCACTTGGAAGCTTTTAAGATCCCAGTTGCTATTTGCCAAAGTAGGATGTGGAGCAATTTTTTATGTAGTATGTTATGCCAGTTGAACTTGATGTCCCCTACGACCATGATCCAGAGCCCACAGGTCCATCTACTCACTCCCTCCAGGTAGCTGGCTGTGGCCAAGAAATGACTACAACCTTGTCCCTTGGCAGCTCTACTGTATGCCTGGAAATTCTTACAGAACATACAAATACACTTGTAGAAACATTGTCTGCCAACCCTATACATGATCATGGGCACGCTCCTCCCTGCATAGACATACCTAATCATTCAGCCTGTCCACCCATCTATCCACCCATACATAGGTCAGTGTTTGCTGTCAGTATTGTATGTGCAAAAGGGTTCATCTTTGTTGTCTATACCTCTGATGCACCTCTCTATGTCTTCCTCTTCCTCAGTGCCGTCATGTTGATCACTCATATTGGTACATTGCCCTTCCCTTCACTCAAATCAATACTTGTCTGTACCTATCTAGCAATGTTCTCTCTCCTCCCTTCCCACTCCTGGTAGCCAATGAAGACAATTTCCTTCCGTATATAAACCTTTCCTTGACTTTTTACAATAATGGACTGATACAATATCTTTCCTTTTGTGATTGATTTATTTCACATAAGATACTCCAAGTTCATCCATGTTATGCAGTGTTTTGCAGATTCTACGTTATTCTTTGGGGTTGCATAGTATTCCATCGTGTTTGGTTATTTCCATAGTTTTGTTATCCATTTTTCTGTTGTTGGGCACCTAGATTGTTTCCATCTTTTTGCTATTGCAAAGAATTGAGCACATTCTTAAGGGACAAGTGAGAATACCTGTTTAACCTTTATCTGACTGGCCTTTCATCAGTTTGACAGTGATACATTACCTCAGCATTCAACGATTCTAGTTTAATAGTGACCTTATATGTTTCCTAAAACTCCATAAATGTATTTTGACTTGACTTTACTTATTTTGACTTCACTTTACTGTTTTATGTCTTATACTTTTTCAGAACTTCTCAATCAATGAGTGCATTAAGAGCCAGATTGCACTTGGGCTGAGAGAGGGGCTCGAACTTTCATTACAGCTGACTTTTGTGTTAGATTGTCTAATGTCTAGTCTCAATATTTGTCAACAAATGAAGGAGAAGAGATATTAATTAAATAGTTGAACTGTCTTAATTTTTATCTCTAAACTTTATTTTCCAATTAATCAGATAAACCTTGTATTTTAACTTTAACCAAGATACTTTTTATAACCAGCATTAAGTGAATTGGAATCGATCTGATGGAAACTAACAACAACAACACATTTTGTTATTTATTTTTATTCTTAGGTTAAACATATTGCTGAAGATCCTCCTTGTAGTTGTTCTCATCGGTTTTCCATTGAGTACTTATCTGAAGGACGGTACCGACTAGGGGATAAAATACTTTTTATAAGAGTAAGTCCACCATTGATGGCCTATTTAAGCACAGATATTTTTTTTTAAATTGGTTTTATTGCTTTACCACCCTCCTTTTGCTTCCCTTTTACTTTTTCAAAAATTTCAATAGAGAGTTTTATTAAGGGGAGAATTTCACTCCCTCCAGGTAGCTGGCTGTGGCCAAGAAATGACCACAACCTTGTCCGTTGGCAGCTCTACTGTATGCCTAGAAATTCTTACAGAACATACAAATACACTTGTAGAAGAAACATTGTCTGCCAACCCTATACATGATCATGGGTACGCTCCTCCCCACGTAGACATGCCTAATCATTCAGTCTGTCCACCCATACATAGGTCAGTGTTTGCTGTCAGTATTGTATGTGCAAAAGGGTTCATCTTTGTTGATGAACAAAATACAGGAAAAATACATAATACTTCCTTTCACGAGTATGTAATGGGTTTGGGTGAAAGCTTATAATATAATAAACAACTGACTATAGGATAGCTATTAGTATTTAGACATTGAATATAACGGAGGGAAAATCTTTATATAGGAAACTTACTCAGTTTTTCAAATTTTCTTTAAAGGAAAAATTTTCCATCATCGTGAGAGGAAAAACAAAGTAATACATCTAATAAGATTAAATACCAGAAATACAAAAAGGAAATAGAAACATTGCCCTTCATAATGTATACTTTGGGCCTGAAGTAGAATTTTTTTTTTCCCCTCATTGACAGCATCAGTATGTGTGCCTGTATGTTGATATATACATTCATTTCCTCCTGTTATCTCTTCTGTAGTTCATAATTGCCTCCTTTGCTGGAGATTTAAGCTTCACCTTTTTAGCATTTTGCCCTTTCCTGATACAAGGGCTGTTTTATTTCCCATTTCTGACCATAATAATACCACAATAGTTAAAAATATAATTTCACCATTTATATTTTCTTCTATTTCATATCTTATCACTACTCCCAACTCCTGTCTAACCCACACAGAAATGCATGTATATGCATTTCCTATCTTTTATTTTGCTTCCTTCATTTAAGAAATGTGGTATAGTGATAATGGACAGAACATGGGTCTTGGAGTTAACTTTGAAGGTTTGCAAGAGTTACATTTATGCAAATTTGCCTGCTGAATGGACAGTTCTGAAATCCAGCTGGGGTTGTGCTAGCAGAGGGAGAATAGATCTTGTCCCTACGTAACTACTATTTGGGTTTGGAACACCCGAATACCTAGGAGTCCAGGCCAAGCTGTGTGCCTTGGAATGAATTGCTTAATTTCTCAGACCTGTAATTTCATCATCTGCAAAGAAGAACTAGTAATAAATTATATCAGAGTTTTTTAAAGACCAAACAATAGTTCAGCTTAATTAGTAAACAATGTCTCCCTTGAGCACTGTGCTCTTTTAAGTTCTATCCATTTGGGATCAAATGGACAACAGCAACTTGAAAGATTAGATAGGAAACTTCAAAGCAGTAAGTTTCTGTTTATGCAAGAAGAACATGTTGGGAAAGAAGGATGCGAATAGTTGCACAGCTCAGAGTGTGATCCGTGTCACTGAATTGTATGTGGAGAAATAGTTGAACTGGTTATGTTCTGCTGTGTATATTCTCAGCAAGAACAAAAATGAAATAAATTTTTTAAAACTGATATAATGCATAGGAAAGTAATTTATTAAATTACAAGGTATAAGTTTTGTTAACTTTCTTCTCTAATAATTATTTTTTCTTTATTATAAGAGCATTTTCGCCAAAAGCCCCCATATATCCTCTCCTTCTCTCCTTTCTCTTTATTTTCTCATTCCATCCTTCCATATTCAGTTTTTTATTGAACAATATTGTCCTTACAATTTTGTATATTAATAACTTAGATTTTTAGGATGCAAGATACCATAAATATATTCCTTACAAATTGGAGGACTCTGTATTGTTTATCATGCAATTTGAATTAAATTTATTAAGTTAATGATACAGGGAGACTTAATTTGTAGCAAAGCTGTTAGCAAATACTCTGAAATTTAGAGATGCAAAATATCATAAATATCTTCCTTACAAATTGGAAGACCTCTTATTGTTGTTTATCATGCAATTTGAATTAAATTTATTCAGTTAATGATACAGGGAGACTTAATTTGTAGCGAACCTGTTAGCAAATACTCTGAAATTTAGAGATTGCAGACATCACAAATTGTGAAAGCTAATGAATTATAAATGTAAATATCACAACTTTAACAGCTTTATTTTTCACTTTCTTTTTGGCGGCAGATGCTTCATGGAAAACATGTCATGGTTCGTGTTGGTGGAGGCTGGGATACTCTTCAAGGGTTTTTGCTTAAATATGACCCCTGCCGAATATTACAGTTTGCTACATTAGAACAAAAAATTTTAGCATTTCAAAAAGGAGTTTCTAATGAAAGTGTACCTGATTCCCCTGCCAGAACACCTCAGCCTCCTGAAATGAATCCTTTGTCAGCAGTTAACATGTTTCAGAAACAAAATACAAAACCTGGGACACCAGTTGGCGTTCCAAGGAGCAAAGACAAGCAGGTACATGCACCAGGTGTGTCGCCCCCAGCAGCATCTTCACGGAAAGGAGGCCGTCCAGCTTCCGTGTCAGTCCGCCCTAAATTGCAGAACTCTCCAGCAGCATCTTCTCATCTCAAATCTTCAAAAGGCATAATAAAGAAACCACCAGTTCCTTCAAACAGTATACCATCTGCACTTGGTTCTTTAAATGCAGTAGGTAAAAGCATTTCTTCACCAGCTTTATCAAGAACTCCACCTTGTGTATCTGAGTCATTAAGAAAATGCATCTCGTCACCCAGTACTTCTAAAGCCAGGCTTATCCCAGCTCAGAAGTCAAGAGAGGCACCTGATTCTGCACTTCTGCCCAATAAGTGCTCTGGAAAAACTGAACCACAGCATTTTAAGCACAGTCACATTTCTTCCAGAGGTAATGCAGTCTCTCCCTCTGCAGCACGTTTAAATCCACCACCCAAGGGTCCGAAGCTACCCAAAGCCAATATACAGGTAAAGGCTAAACCTTCTCCTTCTTTGCAGGCCCCTGCAAAAACGACAAAACCCAGTTCCAAAAGCACAGCCACAGGTCCAGTGACAAGGTCTCAGCCACTTGATGGAGCCCCACAAGCAGGGGCAAGCCCTGCACGGAATCTGAAATCAGCCTTGAATTTAAATCACCCGGTTTCTATGTCCTCAGTTTCTCCTGCAAAAGCCACACGGCAATTAAAAGATAAGAAATTAGTTTCAGTTGCCAAAAAGCAGCCTCAGAATAAAATTACACGCCAGCAGACAGGACCCAGCTCCTCAAGATCCCCTGGTCGCACTCCCCTGGCCATTGTGAGTCTTCCCCAGTCTTCTGCCAAAACACAAACTGTACTAACATCAGGACAGGCTGCCACTAAGGGCCAGTGTTCTGCTAAAGGGCTTCCAAAAAGTGCCAAAGCCCCAGCGTCAACCAGGAAACCACCCTCATCTGAAAAGGAAGCGGTTAATGGAGATAAAACTACCACAAAGAAAAAGGAAGACGATGACCATTATTTTGTTATGACTGGAAGTAAGAAACCTAGAAAATAAATGTGTATCATTTTAAAGGAAGCTGAGAAGTAAAAGGAGTGTGTTAGTTTCACATCTTAAAAATTTCTCCTATTTATGTTTGTCCAAATAGGTGCAGACATTAAGTACAAGATGGGGGTAGAGGCTGGGGATGGGGCTTTGGGTAGGGGAATGGGGTGAGGAGAGGGCACATCAGAATTCACATATCTGAATTCACCAGAAGCTTCCCTTCTTAGGAAAATGACAAAATCACTGCAAGATTCATATTAATAATAGACATTTATATGATTTTCAGTCTAAAGCATTGTTGTAAATGTCTCCATTGAGGAAAATGTCAAATCAAGCAACACTACGAGAATTATATAACTATTTGCTATCTTTATTAATATGTAAAAAATATAGAGGTTATATACCTGCTAATAGCAACAGTGGTGCTCTTAATATTTAGTTACTACATTTTAGTAAAAAAGCCACAATTTGGCACTTATACAAAAGGCACCTAATGTAATTTCCTGGTTAGGATTGCTTGATCCAGCAATTCTAAGTACCAATGGCTGCTGCTGATAGATTGGCATTACTCTAGTTTAGGCAAAATTCATATTATTTAAATTTCTTTTTTAAGCTGTCCAAATAAGGAACTGATTTTTTAGCTAGCATATATTAACACTATAATATTATGTTACTTATATTTCCAGTAAAAATAAAATTAATTTATTGAAACAAACTTAAATTTGGTAAGGAAAAACAGATTTTTCATATATTATCTATAAAAATATATAGACATTTTATATTTGAGATGGATGTTGTGCAATGTGTAAGGGGAAACATTTAGTAGCTTTTAACATAGATATATTTTTTAATAATGCAATTTCCTGTGAGTATAAACATGAGTTTTTACATTAAGATAATGTGCTTTAACATCAAAAGTATGTTTAACAATCCTAAAATTAAAGTGATATTAAAGGATCTTAGAGTGATGCTATTATGTGTTATTTTTATATAGCACAGCAATAGCAGTTTTAATTAGATTCCAATTATGTTCATTTTCTTTAGTAAAGTCATGCTTTCTTCAGTTTTCCAATGTCAGGTTACACTATTTCTGTAACACATACTGTTCTATAGACAGATTCTCTTCAGGGGCCTGCCCAGATCATGCACTGACTAGATAGACTACCAATCTAAATATGACACTTGTAAAATAATTTGCCTTTTAAGGGATTGTTACTGTTTAAACTTTATTAATGTACTCTGAGAAGTTTTAAGGGTGTTTTTTTAATAAGTAACTTCACAGTATTATCAGTTATAACAGTTTTGAGGTTTGTGTTTCCCTATCTTTTTTAAACTGAAATGTGTGTTTTCTAAAGAAAAAAATAATAGTTTACACAATTGAACAATTATAGACTAATCATCTTAAGATGACTACTAATGTTCTGTAGCTTATGAAGCAAGAAAGCTTTGTATGAAAATAAGTCATCTTTTGCCTGAGGAACACAATGAAACTTGAAGGTATGTGCAGGCTACTTTTTAGAATATTTAGTGCTTGTCTTTTAAAGGAGATGGTTGCCAAATATTTGGTTTAGCTCTACAGACCTAGGCATTAAGAGAGAGAATGTTAATATTTTTGGAAGGTGAAGTCACTGTTTAAGAGGTGCTAGAAACTTCACTTTAGTAGAGATCAGAAATAGTTACTGCATCTTTCAGAGAGGAATGATTTTACTTTCAAACTGTTCATTCCCTTGTGAAACCAAACAATACTATATCAGTACCTTCTAGAACTTAAAGAGAAAAAAGCAATTGGTATTACATTCAATCTATAAACCCAATTCAGTTTTACCAAATGTAAAACTTGTTTTGAGAATTTTCAGGAATAAAAAATATGCCATAGGCATCTGGTACAAAGTCCAGAATTAAAGAATTATTTTTTGAAAAATTAAAGACAATTTATAGATAGCTCTGTTCTTCCAAAGTAGGGAATTTCTCCAAGTATATTCATATTAAATGAATTTTTATTTATATATGTTTTAGTTACTTTGGGATGCTTTAACAGGAATATACCACAAATGGGATGCTTTAACAAACAGGAGTTTATTCTCTTACAGTTTTGGAGGCTAGAAGTCTGAGTTCAAAGTGCCAGCCAGGCTCTAGGGACTGGGTGAAAGCAACCTGACCTTGGGCTTCAGCTCTGCCTCTTGCTTTTGGCCCATTGAAAGTGGAGGCTTTTTTCACTCAGGCGGCTGCTGGCTGCTGAGGCTGACAAACCCAAGGTTAACAAGTAAAATGGCACTGTCCCAATATTACCAAACTAAATGGCAGGTCAGTGATTCAAGTCCATTGGCAGAGATTGGTAGAGCATTGCAGGCTACTGAATGAAGACTTGGCTATGTGCAGAGTCCAAGCATGCCGAAAAACTAGAGACCTTCCTCAAAGTTGCTTCTTATAAATGGTAAGCAGCCCACTTTCCTAAACCAGCTACTCAGCTGGTCCAGTAGATTCCACCATGGAGTTAATTACCAATCTCACCATGAGGAATAACTATCTCCACCTGCCCAGCTACTCAAAACCAGGCGTAGCCAAGTGACACATAATCTTAACCTTTTCAGAATAAAGGCTTTGTCTGTGTAAGCAACACCAAAAGACAATTCTCTTAAATATATTGTGAAATCTTCTTAAATAGCTAGTGTTTCTCATCTTTTCAACAGTTTTTAGAACAGCTTCAGCATTGCTGCAGATGGAAAGAAATTTTCATTCCTTAGTACTGTAAGACTTAGCTTTCTAATATTTAATAAAATGAGTATTAAATTCTAATTACTGAAGTACCTGGTAGAAAAAAGATTTAGTTTCAAAAGAGACTGGAATGAATTTTTATTTGCCATAATATTCATGTGACTGATATATCAAATTAATCTTCAGAGGACAATGAGATGCTGATTATTTTTACATTGTTTAAGTTGAGAGTAAATCTTTCAATTTACTTGGTAAATTTAAAGCCTTGGTAAATCAGATGACCTCTAATTTTATTCTCCAAACTGAGTTTACAATTCTGAATAAATAAGGGAATTTTTTTTGAGAAAAAACTTATTGTTCCTTTTGCAATCTATTTATCTCTGTGTGACTTAAAATCTATTAATTCTTTAAAAGTCTTCAGTAGCAGGTTATTTTGATATATTCTTACATCCAGGTGCACATACTGACTCCACTGGAATCCAAATATATGTATAATCTTTCCATGTGTCAGTGGCATTTATATCAGATATTTACTTATATTTTTTTCAAGGATTAAAATTTAAACATATATATCAAGTTCTCAGTTTTCTTTTTTGTGTGTTCTGGATACATTCGGGTCACTTGGTGCATGTGAGAAATCCTCCCCTTGCATATTTGAAGCATTCATAATTTAAGAACAGTTTTAATTCACTTATACTTAAGTGACATTTTTTTGTTTGTTTGTTTGCTTTTAACATTTGATATATTTTCTTTTTAATTGTGATTTGGGTGAAAACTTACAGAGCAAATTCACTTTTTATGCAGAAGTTCACATATACTTTGTCTCGTGACACTGACTACAATTTACCACAATGCAACAGCTCTCCTCCCACTTCCTCCTGATAGTTACCTCTTCCCTGTGTCCATCCCTCCATGCACTCCTGCCCCCTGAGCTGTCTCCTTGTGCATAAATAGCCCTTCTTTCTCCCATGATTGTTCTCTCCAAGGAGTGTATCTACCTCAGGTAAATATTCAGCTCATATGCCTGTCTTTTGTTGGGCTGGAAGCCACAGGTGTGGGTTCAATTCCAGACCTGTAGGGCAGCTAGGGGCCATAGTCTCAGTGGTTCCACCAGGCTCTATCAGACCAGCACACCTGGCCCCCCTCCTTTTTCACCCCCAAATGATTTTGAGTTTTGTTCCACATTATTCTCCCTCTCTATCCAGGATCTCCTACATCGATCCCCCTCCAAGTGGTTGAAAGTGGTAGCTGGGCACCATCTTGTTCTTCTGGTCTCATAGTCATGTAGGCTAAGGATCGCATGACGTACCAGTTGCTAGGACTAATTATTTCCATGAATCTTTGTTTTTCTTCATTCTTCTTTGCTCTGGACAAGAAAAGACCCATCGTTGCATCTAGATGGCTGCTTGCAAGCTTTTAAGATCCCAGTCACTACTCACCAAAGTAGGAGGTGGAACAATGTTTTGTGTAGTATGTTATGCCAATTGAGCTGATGTTCCCTGCAACTATGGTCTTGAGCCCACAGGTTCAACTACTCAGTCCCGCTGGGTAGCTGGCTGTGACCAAGAAGTGACTACAACCTTGTCCCTTGTCAGCTCTACTATACACCTGGGAATTCAGATCCTACAAATAGACTTATAGGACTATTGTCTGCCAACCCTATACATGGTCTTGGGTACACTCCCTGCTTCATAGACATACCTAATAGTTCAGCCTGTCCACCCATCTATCCAGCTGTATACCCATGTTTCCCTTCACTGACAATGCAGTACTGTATGTGCAAAAGGGTTCATCTTTGTTATCTATACCTCCCATGTACCTCTCTATGTCTTCCTCTTCCTCAGTGCCACCATGTTGATCACTCACATTGGTATATTGCTCTTCTCTTCACCCAAATCAGTACTTATCTCTACCTATCTAACAGTGTTCTCTCCCCTCCCTTCCCCTCCCACCCCTGGTAACCAATAAAGAGGATTCCCTTCCATAGATAAACCTTTCTTTGACTTTTACAATAATGAACTAATACAATATTTGGCCTTTTGGGA